ATATACATATATATAAATGCCTATAGAGTCAGATATTGTGGCCCCAAATGCCCATCAGGGTAAACTAATCCACTGGAGGAGCCAAGTTAATTTAAGACTTTTACCTTGAAATGCAACTGAGTCTCCTCTTCTCAGCAGTCATGAGTTGCCAATAGTTCCTCAGGAAGGGATGGGGTTTCTTACTCCTTTCTTCACATCTATAATATTGGGATTTTTATCTAGCCTAAACTTATGTGGGACTTGTCCATCCTGCCACCATTGCTGTGCCTTCATATGAGTAACCGATCAGCTGATTGGAAAATTTTGTTTCTTGTGGTTATCCACCGGCTCTTACAATATTTCTGCTACAGCTTCTGAATTAGGAATTTTGACGGCTCTTTTATAAAGGGGGATTTGCCAAATCTAGCTTAGCCTGAAAAATACTTATTCCTCTGAGGGTGTAAACCAGCCAGGAGCGGAGCCCGCTGCAGAGAGGTAGCTGGGGAGAGTTAGTTGCAAAGAGAAAGAAATTGGAATGGAGGAGGAGAGGTGCAGCTGCCTCAGAAAATGGCCAGGGTGTCCTACAAGCTTAGAAGCGAGGTGGGGCATTTATAGACCTGGGGCGAGGCCGCCAGCCCACGTGAAAGCTGAGCGAGACTGGGGCAGGGCGAGGAAGCAATCAGATCCTGCACACTGCACCGTTTCTTTGTAAGTCACACGGCACTCTGTACCATAAAGGAAACCCCAAACTAAAAGTGTCTTATGTTAGTCTGCGAGCCTGGGGCATTGGGAGGGAGCAAGGGAAAAGAAAAAAAAAAAAAAAAAAAAAAAAATAGGGTGACACTAGCCTACAGGTCAAATGCTGCTCACGGGTTACTTTAAACAACCCACAGCTAAGAATGGTTTTCACATTTTTAAATGGTGGGAAACTACCAAAGAATACACCACATTTTGTAACAAGTGAAAATAGTATAAAATTAAAATTTCAGTCTCAATAAAAAGAGCTCCTAAGAACACAGCCATGATATTTCATTCACACATCGTTAAGGATGAGTTTATATAATGGCTAGCAATAGATTGAGTAGTTGGGGCAAAGATGGTTTGTTAGCGTTTTAAAATATTTACTATTTCTTTTTTAGAAAAAGAGTCCTCATTCTATATAATTATCTTTCTGAAAAAAAAATGAAAGCATTTTAAAAAGTAGGCATTCTACTTTTAATACATACACGATTTCTTCCTTATTTAGTATTTTGGAGTAAGCTGAATTCCTTCTGTGCCAGTGCCTGAGCTTCTGCGGGAAGACACTGCTTTCATGTCTCTCTTGATACTTTCCATAACCAGAGGGTGATATCCTGACTTCTCAGTGATTCACAAGAGAACCTATACCTGATTTTTGTGTTGTTCTCTAACTCTTCTGCTAAACAACTGATCGTGGAAATGGTCTATTTGCAGCCTAGACACATCCACTTTAATTTTGTTTTAATGTCTTTAGCGTTCTATTTCTACATCAAATACTGTTTCATCAGCTCTTCCCTATGAATATATATAAAATTTATCTCAACCTAACTCCCTTTAGTACTTTCATCTCTGGGTTTCTAATTCTTGTCTTTCTCATTGTGACATATTCTTGGGAAAGAGTATCAAATTAAAAATAAACCTGAAGTGTCATTAAGACTGGTGAAACTCATATTGACAGACATTTGGGAACACAAACAACATGATAGGCCTTAACATATATGACAAAATCCATGAAATATGGCAGGAGGAGCTATGGGGGGATCTGCATAGTACAGGGGGCCTAAATGTGATCAAGATATATTGTAATAAATACACAGAAATTGAAGAATTTTGTAAAAAGACTGGTGAAACTATTGAAGCTGGAACTCAACTTAAACTCATAGCAGACTTCTGTTTAACCTCCAGTGACTTCATCAGCTGAAGATAAAGGAAAGACGATTGTCCAATAGTAAAGCTAAGCCAGAGAAGGTA